TCGCCAGTGTGCGCTGTGACGACTGTCGACAGGTGCTGGACTGGTTCTCATGGCAAGATCGGGGTATGTACCGAAGGGCAGGACACTTGGCGATTTGACATATGTCCATCGGAATTGCGTGTCTGCATCCGACGAGCTGCGATTGCAAGATCTATCGGGACAGTTTCAACCTGTCGGCCTGGCGGCACTGTCTGGGACGGGAAAGCGAGCGGGCGAGGAGATGTGTGCAGTGCCGACTCTAGCACATCATTATGATCTACGTCACGGCTTCGTCCCAGGCAAGCATGTGAACATATCGTGTGGGGTGGCGCTCTTACTGTGACGAGCAAAATTTCGACTCCAGCATGTAGTGGACACCCCTGCCTTGCCCCCGGCTCTCCACGGGCGAATTGCCCTACGCAAGCTTCGATCAGGTACATCCGATATCATTCTCCCACTTACGTACTTCCCACCTCAACCATCGCAGAAGCGAGAGGGAAGGAAGAGCACGGCAGCAGGCAGTTTCAAGCGGTATCAGGACACGGCTGACAATATGTGCAGTTGGCTGGAGAAATTTTTCACATGGGCTAGAACAAGATCGGCACTGCTATGGGGTTTCGACCTCAACGACTCTCTGGGAATGCGACAATCAACTACGGGCCAACTTGGCCCGATTGTCTCCGACGCGCACGGTGTATATGGACTGGGGGAACAGAGGTCCTTCTACGGGGGATCGTGTCCATGAACTGTTGGTGAGGTTTGCGATCCGTGTGAGCTCCATTGACTACCCAGTTGGAGACACGTAGACACGTACTACGGCAGTGTGAGTTCGTCGGCCATTGGCTATGTGGCGACGTCCGCGTAGCAGAAGCGGAGCGTGGCCAAGTGCGTCCGTCTGCGGCATGCGAACCCTAGGCTGAAGCTGATAACGCAGCGGGGTCTGCAGGACCATATGCCCACCTTGTTGCGAGTGCACTATTCTTTTGGCTTTTCTTCGGCTCGCCCCACTGGCGTCAGGTGGGACTTCGACGGGCTGGCCCAAGCACTGCGTCGGGGGACGGGAGTGGGCGTCTTCCAGTCGGACCTCGAGGCAGCGCTCGCAAGTCGGCCAGACCCGCGCGAGGATGTGCCGACGGCAAGTGCGCCCGACCAGCTATGGCAGGATTGGATCGCAAAGGTGTGCGCGGTGGCTGACCGTCATCCCTTAAGAACTGCTGCGAAAGACGACAGAGCGGCACACTGTGAACGGGAGCGCAGGAGGCTACTGGCACTGCGTCGACATCAACGCAGGATCGGCGAAGATGACGCCGAGACCGGCCTGGCCTTAGCTCGTGTCACTCGTCTCCTACGCAAGCTTTCGACAAGCCCGCCTCGCAGAAGTGACGGAACATATGGCGACGGAGCTGCAACGGGTTTGGCGGGCGCAGCGCCGCGCCGAGGTGCCCGGCGCCTTGCGCGCCCGCTGGCAGGACAGTGCGCCTGGGATCACGGAAACGACTTTTCAAAGTGGCGGATGCGTAGGCTCCTCGGAATGATGAGGTGTGTGTGTGTGTGTGCATGTGTGTGTGCGTGTTTTTTTTTTTGTTCGGCACCACCTGCACCCCGGGCTCCGCCCGCTCCGGCCGCCTGAGGCCCCGCCTTCCTGTGCCCAGTCTCCCTGATTAAAACTGTGCGTAGCCCGCCTAGCTTTTAGCGGAAGAGGTTCGCTCTCGCCCCGCAGACCAAAAAGTGCGTGTGTTTTTTGCTCGCGCTGGCTCTGCAGGAGGGTTTCAGGCTGCGCCGATATCGTTTCACGAGTTTCAGCAAGAATGCTTGCAGGGGTTGCCTCCTCCCCCCCCTTCGGCGCAAACAACTTTGCTGACGTGGAGGAGGCCATGGATGATCTGGAGAAAGTGGGGGGCCCTGATCGCGAAAGCACAGAGGAGGAAGGCTGCCCCGGTGCACAGGGCGCCTTCAGAGCTGCTGCACTTGGCGATGGGCCCTGCTCGACGGTTCGACGGGTCTCATCGGAGACAACGACGACGACGAGACCGTGAAGGGGGGGCGACGATGGCGATGACGCTGGCCCCCCACCTCCTCGACGGCGTGATGCGCCTCGCCCTGCCAGTCAGCATCGTCTTTGGGGTGTGATCGTCGGGGCCTTGGGGCAGATCAGGAGGCCCTCCCGAACGCGACTGTTGTCTCTTCGTCCTCGAAGCGGCTCCAGCAAGTACAGTCGGGGCGTTGACCTAAGGAACCCTAAATAAGGAACGAGGCCCCTTCCATACTTCGATTTCCCATCGAGAACATAAGGAAAACCTGAGACAAGCTGTGAAACAACTAAGGAACACGGAGCCCCTCCCCAACGAAAAGGGTTCCTCCTTCAGCGAACCGACTGTATCGGTGCTTGCGTCTGAGGACGCTTCGCCTCTGCTTGACGAAGAACATGCTCGCACGATTCGCGGCATCGCCCGCGACCGGCCCCGCCGGCCCCCCCCCTCTCCGGAGAGCCCAGGATCGAATCGAGAAGTCGGATCGGCAGTCGAAGCGAGCCGGATCGGCGGAAATTGGCGGCCGAGCTGGGGAGAGTCGAACCGGGGGAAATCGGAAGCCTCGTACGCCTCCAGTACAGAATCGGGGCCCACATTGGAACCCCCACGTCGAAGCGAGTCGGAATCGGAATGCATCGAAGTCGGATCGAACGGAATCGGAGAAATCGCAACGAGCCCTGCCCTGGTCACGCCACGGTACGCGCTGGCGCGTGGGGATGGGCCGCTCCTATGGGCATTCCAGGGCGGCGCCCGCGCGAAGGGTGACGTGACCGGAGCCTCTCGCAGCGGGCCGACCTCCAATACAATCGGGTCGGGCGAAAGGGGGGGATAACAAAAGGGGGGTTTGAGAATCAGCTCACGTAGCTGATTTTCCCGGCGCCTCCTGGCGCCGGAGGCGGCTATGTATCAAGGAATGGGCCCCTCGGTGGGGCCAAAAACCAGCTGCATGCAGCAGATTTCGTAACCCTCCCTTTCCCAATCCCCCCCTTTCGTCCGGCCCGATACAAGCCCTGCGCACAAGATCAGGAGCCCCAGCTGGACACCTGTCCACGAGATGCTTGGCGTGTCTCCTGGGCGGCGCTCGTGCCAGAGGCCTGCGCAAATCCCGTTGGAAGAACTGTGGAAATTGTCGGGGTCCGAAACATAGAGCCGACCTGTGGATCCGACCAGCCATAACTGGGGAAGCTGTGGTCCTTACCGCCCTGGGGGAACCCATCGCGTCGACGATCTCTCGAGAGGGGTACCGAAATCGATGGGTCCCCCAGGGGGGTAAGGACCACAGCTCCCCCAGTTGTGGCTGGCCTGTGAATGACTCCCCGGGGCGGTGGCACACCCGAGCGTCACTCGGCACGGGGCGGCGCTCAGGCGTGCCACCGCCTAGGGATGGGTCCCGCCCCGCCGGGTTCTCGGTGAGGAGGAGGAGGGGGAGGGAGGAGGAGGAGGAGGAGGTGGAGGAGGAGGAGGAGGAGGTGGAGGAGGAGGAGGAGGAGGATGTGGACAAGAGGCCGCCTGCCAGCGAAGAAGGTCCAGAACTTCGGTACGTGGTCCATGGAGGCGGCAAAAGGGGGTCTTCGCTGGACGGGCCCCGAGGAAATCCGCTAATAAAAGGAGGGCAGACTAGCAACTCCGCAGAAGTCTGTCCCTGGACCCCTCCCTCTTGGGGCCCATCTGGTGCAATCTGTCACCCAGATCCTTTTTGGACGGTCCCGCGGTCCGACAACGGCCCTCCAAGGCAGAGCAAAACCAGGGAACCTCCTCGAGCCCACCACCCTGCACCTCTTCCCCACCCTCGTGCAGGGCGGAACCAGCGCTATGATGGCCACCCTCGCCTCCCAGCCGACTCCAACGGTGGCCCGTGCTTCTCCTCCACAGCCGGACCAAGGACAGAAGCACACCCTTCGAGAACAGGCCCTCCGCCATCCAAAACACACAGAACCTTCGACGATGCCCTCCTCCAGGATGCACAGGGACACACAACAAGCACGAAGAACATGAAGGGGTACCCTCCCCGAACCGACCTCGAGCTTACACCTCGGGCCAACCGTATGTGCCCCCCTCCCCTCCCCCCCGCCGCCAAGCCGACTCCAACGGTGGCCCATGCTTCTCCTCTAAGCACAGGGCGACGAAAACTATAACACACACATATATATATACATATATATGTATACATATATATGAATGTATATATACACGTGCATTTGCACACACACACACATATACGCATGCACGTACGTATGCACGTACGTACGTACGTACGTACGTATGTATGCATTGAATGAATGAATGAATGAATGAATGAATGAATGAATGAATGAATGAATGATTGGGTGTATGCATGTGTATATATACACATAGATATCCACTGCCCCTGGCCAAGCCCATCCTGGGCCAAAGATGGGCCTTGCCTATGGCAGTGGAAGTGCATAGATTTAGGTCGGGCATGTCCTCCTACGGGCGGCTCCTGAAAGATAAGTTATAAGTAGTCAAACAACGAATCACTACAACACAATACCGCGAACGAGCGCCACAACACCATTCTTGTCTTACCGTTCGGGGACATGCTGAGCACTGAATCATCTGCCCAAGGAGATACGAAAAGGAGGAGGAGGAGGATAAGGACAAGGAGGAGGACGAGGACAAGGACAAGGAGGAGGACGAGGACAAGGACGAGGAGGAGGAGGAGGAGGAGGAGGAGGAGGAGGAGGACAAGGACGAGGAGAAGCAAGAGGAGGACGAGGAGGAGGACGAGGGCGACGAGGACGAGGAGGACGAGGAGGGCGACGAGGAAGAGGAACAGACCTCGTCGCCCTGAAGCGCCGTCGTCCCCAGCGCGCTGGGCTGGTCTGCGCAGCTGGGCGCGCCCACGAGCCGCGGCAGCGCCGCCCCGCGGGCGCGCCCGAATGCGCGGGAAAGAGGGGCCCCCGCGCGCGGGTCGCCCCGCAGCCCGTTGTAGCTCACGTCCAGGGACATCAGGTTCTCGAGCCCCCTCAC